AGACCTGTGTATGACAAAAGAAGAGCTAATTTGATAAAATCTACAGATCTTCAATTCACATGCTCTATTTTGTTTGATTTTGACTAAAACATTTGAGAAGCAGGCCAATTTAATTTTACAAAAGCCAGTGTAATTGATATTATATAATATTATTATTTGAAGACATCTTAAATCTTTGAACTTGCTCTTGTGTTCAATTGTCCCCATCAATCACAAATTTAGTCTGAGGAAATAAAAAAGACATACTTTGGTCATATTATCAGTATATAAATATTATGTAGATGGTTCTAACCTTGCTTTAATACATGGCTGATAATGGTGTGTGTGTGTGTGTGTACTTTTCATAATTGCATAAAAAGGTGACATTGGCCACAGTATAAAATAGTCTTGTATTTATTTAATGGTAAAAAACAATTACAAACTTTTATTAACATGACTGTAGCCACTGTGACCAAACCTAATGTTACAAACTATTACTACATTTCTGGTTTGGACTTCTAATCAAGTTTTTCTTAGATCTTTTATATTTTAATCCAAAACTCTCTGTTTTCTGGTAGTTAACAGCTCACAGGTATAAAGATTTATTGTTATCCTAACAACACAACTGTGATTTTATCATACAATGTGCATTAATTTCAAGCAACAAGATAAGAATGGAATAGTGATTAAGATTTAGTGTTATCCTAACAACACAACTGTGCTTTTATTGTACAATGTGCATTCATTTCAAGCAACAAGATAAGAATGGAATAGTGATTAAGATTTAGTGTTATCCTAACAACACAACTGTGTTTTTATCATACAATGTGCATTAATTTCAAGCAATAAGATAACAATGAAAATATGAAAATTATTTTTTGCTAAGTCAATGAAAGGAGCATATTTTTGTTTGTATTTATTAAGTTATAAAACACTATATAGAATTATTAGAGTTTTAACGTTTTCAAAGAGTGTGTATAATATGTAAACCACAAGCCATCAAGAAAGATCCATAGTATCATGTGCATGAATTTGTAGTTTTAAGAATGTATTTATAATTTTAAGCAGTATCATACTTTAATCAGACCTTTTTGTCTTAGTAAATAATATTATAATTTTCAAGTAAAACGTTTTACTTTTCTTCGCTAGAGAATACACACCCGTTTTTTTATTAGGTATAAAGTTACTGCTACTTATTAAACCAGGTGTGCATTTGGGTTTGGTTTGTGGATTTCGTGGTGGTTTGCGAAATTAAGACGTCCACATATCATCAATTTGCTGCTGTTTTCAGTTTTGATATAGTTTAACAATATATTACAGATTTTTGAATGCTAATACCATCCACTGTTGAGTGTGAGGAACATTAATTTTTTTCTTTCAGAAGTCACAGCTGGGAAGGAAACGAAGAGGAAACAACACTAACTTGTAGTCTACGGAGAGGATTGCTTTCAGCTTTGATCCTACGTTTCCGTTGTAATCAGTGAATTTCACACCAACGATTGATGCATCCCAAGTACCCACTCAGGCAGAATGAAGGCGAGCTTCTGGCACAACCAGCAAGCCAACACATCCGTCAATATATAGTCCAAAAAGCAATTCCTTGCTACAGCGGTGACGCCAATATCCTAGTGCGAAATGGTCTTTCCATGCCGCCTGGAGTGCAGCCCCGTTCCAATACCTTTATTAATTTCTAGTCAGTGTGACGGAACAGAATTCACATTAAGAGGTCCCGACTACTATCGATCTTCCTACAAGTTATGTTTTTTTTTCATTCGCTGGTTTATATCCGCTCTCAAGTATTATTATATCTTTCAAAACTTTTTAGCCAGTACATTCGATGTGTTGATATAGGTTTCCGCTTCCATAAAGATCAGATGTTTTATATCGAAGATAAACAATCTTTATTCTAGAAATAGAGTCTCAAAACACAAATACTGACTGTATATTTAAAAGGCGAGACGATGCCAGGAAAGCTTATTAATCATTTACACTAAGATTATTGGGGTGTTAATGTTGAAATATGCTAAAGATAGAGCAACTGATGAGGACAAAATACAACAATGTTCACAGGAATCTTATCCTCCTGTTCATTTAGCCAGTGTATGTAAGATTCTTTTTTTTTTCCAGTGTTAAGCAAGATCCTGTCTTAAAATAAATGCACACTAAACTTATAGTGATTGCATTAAGTAAAATGTAATACGATTTAGCATTTATAAATGAATACAAAGAGAAAACAAAACAAATTAGGCCTAACAATATTTATATATTATACATATCAGAAAAGGTATAGCCATTTCAAATCTCAAAGTACTTTAGTTATAAAGTGAATTTCAACAGTATGTCATTTGTATCAGTCATTAATGTAAGTGACAGTATACTGATAAGCACTTAAACTCAACAACTAGTATTTCTAACGTAACTGACAATAATGTTACTGACAGGTGTACTCATAATTAAACTCAAAATCCAGTATTTGTAAAGTAACTGACAGTGTGTTCATAGACACTTAAACTCAAAATTCAGTATTTGTAAAGCAACTGACAGTGTATTCATAGTTAGTTAAACTCAAAACCCAGTATTTATAAAGTATACACACAAAACATGATGTAGGGTTTTTTATGTTTCTATGTAATGAGACTATCCGCTTTTAGGGAAGGTCATGTAATTAAAATATGTTGGCCACTAGAGAAGTAGATCTGATTGATTTTTCATACCTTAGCCACTTTCTTCCTCAAGTCATTAGGTGAAGGTCTGCAATTTGTCAGGGTAGAATTAGTGTCAAAATGTGTTCGGCTAAGGTATACTAGATGATCGTGTTGGCCATCAGTCAAGTTTTTCTTAGCTCTATGAAATGGATCTCCATCTGTACACCATCCCACGTTTAGAAGAAGAAACTGATTTATAGAAAATGCCTGTTCGCATTCACCTTACCAATATCTTACTTTAGATTAAAAATTACTTTTGCATCGATAAACCGTTCCACATGTAGTAAGTAAAAATTAAAATATACGCATGGTTCTACACTATGAAAATGCTTGGAGAAGAAAGAAGAAATGTAAAACTTTCTAAATAAGAACATTGCGTCATGAAGTGTTGACCACGTGTTTCTCATGTAACACAGCTTTAAAATCCTAGGCATTACATATTAGAGTTGTTTGGATAATGGTGTTCACCAGTACTCTAAGTTGTGAAGAAAATAAAATGAGCTTAAAATTTCGAAACTTATTATCATATCAAAGTATGCTTACCAAATGTATAGCGAGTGTTTAATGATGTCCATAAAAAGCTATAAATCACAGGAACGTTTTATTCACGTTATTACTAAACATTTCGTTTCACACATGCTTTTATCAGACTCTTTATATGTCCACTTGAATTGCAGAATACCATGTATAGTGACATAGTTCATAAATATGCAATAAACGTATCATAAAAAATTGTAATCTGTAATGCTCTACACTGTATTAAATCTAGCAAGATTAGTACTACAGAATCGTAAAATACCAGCATAAAAAAACTGCGGGCGCTATCACATTACAATTAACAAAACCAAAACCAAACAAAAATACCTTCTGTTTCCTTTCGTCTGGATTCTTTCTTTTGAAGCTGTTATGTAACTGTTCTGAGGAGCCTCTCTCGATGCTGAACTATCGGCTGGCGGTTCGATATGAGAGAGCCGCCATTGTCGGCAAAAAAGTCCTCCATAAAACACAAGTGTTTTCTCCAAATCAGCTATTATGTGCTTAATTTACTTAACTACAGGAATGATTAAGATATGTTACTATTAACAAAACTTTCAAAGTCAGGTAAGTATCAGAAAATCCTTTATATTCGTTTCGTTTTCAAGAAGCATGCCGTCGCTCAATTGCTGCCGCGTTCCAAGATGGCGGACAAACTGACTAACGACGCCATTACGTTTAATTCTTTTTTTTATATATATTCACTACTGCTTATGATGTTGAGGTTAGCATGTAGCGTGCATACGAGAGTGCTAATAATAATGCTTATTGATATCAAATAGGTTTAAATAACTTTATGAAACAGTAAAGTGGCAATATGATTTTTTTCAATAAAAAACAACGCTTTATGACTTTTTATATTCACAAAACATGTAGTATCTAAACTACTATTTTAATAAAAATAGGCTTAAGTATACAATATAGCAAACTCCATCTAAATAATTGTTTATTTGTTTACTAACAATTATTTGTATATTATTTCTCAGTCTTACTGTGATATGTTCGCATTCTAGTTTCTCATATAATTTCTATGGAATGTGAACTATTATCACATTCATATACACACGAGAACGTTGACTTTTCTGTTTTTAATGTCCCCCAGTGACACAGCGGTATATCTGCAGACTTACAACGCTAGAAACCAGGTTTTGATACCCGTGGTGGGTAGAGCACAGATAGCCCATTGTGTAGCTTTGTGCTTAATTACAAACAAACAAATACGTTTTTTATATATTTGTATATGTATTTCTGTATTCAGTAAACACTATGAGATGAGTTCTAGCGGCTATTTTTTGCAGAAGTTTATATCAGATCTTTAACTTGAAGGTAAGGTTATTTTAGACAGCCTGTACACACCCTCACACCAGAAACGATGTCTTAGTGTATCAGTCTGTGACAAAGAGAGTGGTAAAACGAAAAGAAGTAAACATTCACACGAACACTCGCTTTTAGCCAAGGGCAACATCATGGGACCTTCTGTACTATGACCTATACTTAATTTATTACAGGGTTTTGTCCATCGCCTCTGCTATAGCCAAAGCGGAAAAACAACATGAAGACCCGTTGGAAAACAAGCTAGCGGCTTTGGATGTCATTCTCTCGAGTCGCCTGCTGGACGTGTCGGGGCATCTTGCCATCTTGCTAACATTTTTGGCAGCTGCACTTTGGCTTCTTCATTTCTGGTGGGACGACATCCAGAAAGGCGTTTTTTGACGTGTTTACCGACTTAGTGCGATCTCTGTTTTGTGTTTGTGTAAATATACCTCAAACAAAACGCAGCTGTGAAGCTCGGATTTTTATTTATATCTTTTGGTCAGAGCTCGTAAAATACAAACACGTAAGATAACGATCTCCGATGAATAAATTAAAATACCTTAGCCAATAATTAAATGTTTGTTTTCACATTAAATAACCATTCCAGTTTTCCAAATGCCTTGATTGTCATGTAAAAAGAATCGTCTCAGTGATTGATTAATTAAAGCCGGAGCATTAGTTGCAATTTGAAGTTACAACCTAAGCGCCAGTCACTTGTGTGTCAAGATCTGAACTTGTCTTCTTATTGCACAAGCGCAACAAAGTAGACTGTTGTCAGAGGAGATGAGAAAAGCAGCGGTTCCCAACAGAGTCATCAGTCACCTGGAGGAGCTCGGATGCGCCACCACTGTCCGGGGGCTGTCCACAGAGATATCTTGTAGGTTACTCAAGATGATGAGTTCAACTTTAATCTGTAATTGCTGCATCTCTAGGTTTTTTGTCTCCACTGTTATTTTCTAAAAGAAAAAAAGAAAGAAAATAACTTTAAGAAATATGTGCACTTTGTATTAATTCGTATAGATTTTCTAGCTCATTCCATTTTTTTTTGTATGATTAATGAAATGAATTCTTTCCATTCAATTAGTCTTTCTATTCTCTCCTCCAATTCTTACTTTTATTTCAATACTTTCGGCGGGAATAATACTAGTGATTCTGGAAACACTCTCACTGAAAACAAACAGCTCTCTCGGGCTGTACAATGGCTTTAGGAGCAGAGGTTGATTTGTTTTAAAGAGTCATTAACAAGTGTTTTTCGCCGTACTCGGTGTGCTAGAATGGTTGACTTTAAACGGCCAGATAAATCACATTGAGCGAACAGGTTTGGAATATATATATGTATATTGTGAAACCTACTAAATCACTGCTTCTAACGTCTTCATTCTCTGTCGTTGACTGTGCCGTGTATAGGACTAGACTACACGCTAGAAGTTCTCAGGGCTCTTGTTTACAAGAACACTATTTTAAAGCTTAAATGACCCGCCTTTGCACGTGGATTCTCACATGTATGCACTTACCCGTAAACTTTACAATTTATGGCCTTAATAAATATACAGGGCACGTGATAGCGACCACTAAAAGGGTGAGTAAAGTCGTTTCGCTTCTTGCGCTCCACAGTTTATCAGAGCTTGATTGAAGATGTATAGCTCTCAGTGTGTTGGTTGTACTTCTGTCTACTCTGTCTTCTCTCAGATTGTTCAGCTGTCTGCACCATATAAATTGTTTACTTACTGTAAAAAAATACTCGTTTTACGTCACACTACGTGAACTGTTTATATAGCTGAGTGTAACAGGAACATGCAAAAAATGAATTAATTCTTAATAGAGAAAAAATGAAATAACGTATACGTCAGTGGTAATTACTTGGGTTGTTTCTAGTATGAATCTATATTTCATAATTTCAATGAACAAAAAGTCAAAAGCAGTATTTATGTCAGTACGTGTAGGTTAGCATACAAAACATGAATAATACGTATTCAGCAAAGTGATCTAAACGTCTGTAAACTAGTCAATTAAAACATTTTTTTTTTCAACTAGGTTCCACTTACTAATTCTGCTATTTCTAACAATGAAATATACATATTATATGCAACATAAAAGCTTCTGCTATATTAGTAGTGTCTGGTTATATGGGTGTGTTTTCTGATAACTAAGCGTATATACATATTTCATATTATGAAAAGTATCTCATATATACTGTACACTAAAAGCATAATTTATGAAAAAATAAAGAATGCTGATAAGACTTTCCAGTGCAGGAACGAGTAATTTATAACGTGATAGCTACAATATATATAACTGATTATTAGTAGAGTAGAGATGATGGTATTTTGTAATAACGTTGAGCAGCTCTCTTGAAGTGTTGATGTAACATCACTAGACATGTGTTAAGAGAAGATGTATCACTTAAAGATGTTGCTTCTAAATACATGAATGGTTTACTATCACGTTGCTTGAGCGCTAATACAAAGAACAGTATAGTAATAAAGTTATTTTTAAAATGTTAAAGGCCATATTAGTCATGCAAAGTGCATACAAAAAAGACAAAAACCTAGGATTTTGGTATAACGTGAAAATCTAGGATTTAATGTAGTAGAAATTAGTGAACATTGCAGAATTGTTTGGGTCTAACTGTTTTTAATATTCTATTGATTTCATGTCCAACAATTGTTTTACTTACATTCATTTCACCTTAAGTTGAGTCTAGTGATAAGCTCTTTATGTGCTACTGAGTAAACCTTGTGGATTGTAGGTATGGGATGTTGCACAATAATCAATCAACTCGAGTGCCATCTTTAGCGAACAGTACAAAAGAATAGAACCCTAATGAAGACGTTGTTGAATCATTTGAAAGCCACAGAGAAGAAAGGCTTTTGTGTTTGGTTAGTTCCACTGTAGGGTACTGACAAAATTACGAAGAAAGGAAGTATTTCTCTTTTAATAAAAGTATTTTTAAACTACGTATTTGGGCACTGTTAACTATTGTTTGTTCATGAACAAATACAACACGTTTATTTATTTATTTTTCATGGATCGTATTTTATGTGTCAGTGCATGAAACGTCGAAATTACCAGAAAACATGATTAAGTCGCAGATACTTCTGTCAGAAATAAATAATGAATTAAATTGAAAGAAAAAAAAGAGTAAAATATTGCATTCAATCCTTATAACAAAAGGAATCGTAAAATTATTTATAGTAGTAATTAATAACGAACGTTTCTTTCATATATTAAGGAATAAAGTATTAATCTGACGCGGTATAATCAACGTTTAACCGCTATCGTGTGTCTTCGTAAAGTAAGTCATTGTAATAAATTAAACAATAACATATATTGAAATAGATGTTTAACAAGCGAAAAAAGAAGAAAGCTTTGTTTATTAATTCCCTAAAAAGTTATTATATAAAATTAAAGATAATGTTTCCAATAAATTCAAAGTTTTTATACACAAATAAAGACTGGTTATGTACAATATTTATACGTCACTCATATCATTTATATAATTCAAACAATATTTCAACTTCGTTTTAAACATGCCATGTTCTCTATCTAAGCCTCATTTAATTCTCTATCATTCCTCTCATGGATCCGATTACTCGGGGTATCTAAAGTGTGACTTCATAACCTACTGCAACCCGTCATGTTTCTCTGTATTTATTAACTATATACAAGGAAATGGAATACGATTGTTTAGTCTCAATTTAAACAGAGCTTAACTTGGGTTGTAAATCTATCACAGAGTGATATACGGACTGGGTGTGGGAAAAGTGTATTTCGATTGCATTGCAAGTGACTGATGTATATTTAGTTAGGGATTAAGTCTGACAGTAACAGCATTTACTGGAAACTACAGACGTAACAAAACTCCTTACTAATCGATTTTTATAAGATTCTTAACTATTCGATTTGTATTAACTCTTTAGGTATTAGTAACAAAACTAACGAATTTTTATAAATTCCTTTGTCTTTAATTAGAAAACTATAGTCTACTTGTGTAAATACTTAAACTGATCGAACATGGACTTTTTAAACATTTGTATTAACTGAAGATTAATGACGCAATCGATTTGTTCAGTCTTCTGAAAAATCGGCAGGGAAGTAAATCTGTTGGAATCAGCTAATTAAACATCAAACAAAGTCACGTGACTCATATAAATTCACCAGAGAAATGTTGTATAGAAAAACTAAGCTATACTTGGAAACATTAGTACAAACTCTCTCTCTCTATATATATATATATACATACATTATTTTCTCATTCTTCTTATATATTATTGTATTAATATTTTCAACAGCTGTAAGTGATTGGTATAAACCTTGTAAACATTAATAGGATAACGTACTAAAATGTGCAAAAACTACACGATTTTAATAAACTTATAGTAGCAGGAATACTATATATGTTTAAACATCATATGAGTTATTTGGAAAATAAATGTTGCCCATTTGCAACAGCTGATTGTATAAATGAAACTGCTAAAACTTTGAATAAAACTTGACTTGGCTTATTAAAAAACAGCCGAATATTGTTATTGGTGTCATACTTATAACCGTGAACCTAAAAAAATTCACTTTTTTTTAGAAACACATTCGTGAGAAAACAATAATTTTGTTTTTACATTTCATCTTTGAAACGAGTTAAAGACTCTATAAAATAAAACTCGTTAGGTGACGTCAAAACGATTAATGCAATATATAAATATAAAGAGTGTTGAAAAAGCATATTTATCATCCGAGCACATTTTCAACACATTTTTCACACCACATAACACGATTCTTGACTGTTTTGTACATTCGGTGGTGTTAGAAATAACTGAGAGAGTAGTCAAAACTGAACTCTTCAATCACTGTATACGTACAGAGACCTTGAACTATATAGACCACACACACATATATATATATAAATAAACACATCATTATAAGCGGCATTGAACATTGTCACGGTAAACTCATTAAAACTTTTTTTTTCAGAACTTATAACGACCTAGTGAAACCCTTTATGTTTTGTTTATGAATTAGTTCAACTCCTGCAACACTGAATCGACCAACTATTTATTTTTATGCCTTCATAATGCGTACTTACACTTACGTTCAAATATTCAAACAACAAAATACACGAAACTTCTTAAATTGTCATTTCTTCATTGTCTGAAAATATGTCACACAGATAATATTAACGACGGTTTTCTGTACGTTTTTATTTATTCTGCGTGTTAAACGTTTGAAAACTAAGACACGTATGTTTCATTTCAAGCAGTAGCTTAGAGTTTGTGCTTTATAATATATAATAGGCGTTATTCGAAATACAAATTAAAACTAAGAGTCTGATTTACAACTAAGTCTTGATTTACAAAACTCCTCAAGTATAGTTTCACAAGTACCTACCTATCTATCTGTCTAAAAAATACTAATAAATTTCAATGGAACAGTTAAACAAAATATTATAACTAGTTACGTATGATAGGGTGCATTTAAAGTAACGTTTTAGTTTTGTAGCACAAAGCTCTACAGTGGGCTACATGTGCTCTGTCCACGTGGAGAATCAAACCTCGGATCTTAGCGTTATAATTCAGTAAAGATACCGCTGACTCATAGAGGGACCTAAAGCCAACGAGCTGTAAAGTATTTGATAATTTGCACTGCTATCTAAGCTATTACTGGACTCCTCGGTATCTTAGAAGAATAACCCAACTTCATTGTTTAAATCTTAGGATTAAAGGGTTACTCCAGTTCCTATAATACTTGTTAACTGGCGCTGGAAAAACAGTATGTTGCAACGTCATAGTTTAAGTATTTCACAACATTGCTGGAAATCCAAAATTGTATTTTCTGGGGAGTTTTTGACGCCATTCGATTGAGAAGCGATTAATAAAACAATGGATTTAAATGACATTGAAAATGGTGTTTGAAGGGATAGATTTTCGTAAAACACAGAGTAAGAATAAGCTGAAGAATATGT